TATCAAAGATGTTGTATCGACTTTATTGCTGGATAAGAATGTCTTCTCTCTCACACCTATTTTGGTTTGGTGTCAGTTTGTCCACTAGAGGGCGACGCACTACTAGAGACCAATAGGGAGGATTCTCCATGGGATGGGATGGGCTGCTGAAAACCAGGAAACTGGAGCGCTCTACTATCAGGCTTCATTACTTTCCAGTCGGCTGTCTGCACCTGTAGTGTCTAAAAATGGACCCATCCAAGGTAAGAAAATAGTTTGAAAAAAACCAGAGTATGCTGTTATTTCGTCGATATATTAGTGGTAAAGTCTCTGGTAAAGTTTGTTGATAGTAAAGTAGGCTACATTGTATCCGTTTCATATTTCACTTCCAGCAACTCGGATGTGCCGGAAAAGAAACTTGCACGATGAAACGCAACAACGTGATGTAATAGTTCATAGGCCAACATTAAAATGTCTAGGTTATTATCTAGCTATGAATTCATAACGCAGTAATATCCTATGAATTTATAGCTAGTCCTTTCACGTAATTCGAGGGGGGGTGAAGAAGGCTGAACTAGTTTATGTTCTACATTGTACTTGGTAAACTTTGTGTGTGTGTGTGTGTGTGTGTGTGTGTGTGTGTAGGAGGTATCTGCCTCTGAGAAGGAAAGGAAGCCAGCAGGGGAGGAGAGTGAATGGCCATCCAGCAAACTCCTCAGGACCTCTACTAGAATGTGAGTGAACATAGAGTATATTATCTATTATCTACCTGGTACAGCCAGGGCCACCCCTCAGATTGGACATAGAATATATTTGACCAATGAAAATGAACAAGTGTCAATGCCAGTAGAGAAAGAACCAAATAATATAAAGGATGTACAAGAACAATATCAAGAACCATATCAGTGATACTGGTGATAGATGAGGTAGTTATATGCATATAATCAGGGGTAAAGTGGCTGAGCAGCAGGATAAAAAAATAAAATAATAGCAGCAACGTATGGCGTGTGTGTTAGGAGAGAGTCATGTGAATAGAGGCACTGCAGATAGTGCTGATGACTGGGAACTCGCCCCCAGTGATGAACTGGTCCGTCAGAACCACGCATGAACAAGGGAATCTATATTCGGAGAGTCTGTTTCTGTCCTGCCCTTGACTTTGGTGCAGGGCATGTGATGTCCATAGCCTCTTTGTCGCAAAAACTCCCTGATCTTCTCAAAAAGATAAGTTTGTCTAGCTGTGTTCAGTCCAGGTGGTGCTTGTACAGGCAGACCATCTATGTGAGGAATGATGTCAGTGTTGCTTAGCAGCTGAGTCCGAACGCTCCTTGTCAACAACAACACCAGGCTCCAGAGCATCGAAGCTGTAAAACAGGAAGTAACAACAACAAAATTAGAAGACATTACAACCTTGCATAACATCAATTCACCTCCTAAGGTTAGATAAGAAGAATAACCTCCTACAATACAATGAAGTGCTGGTACTGCTTGATCTGTGGCAGAGACCTGAAGTACGGAGTCAGGTGTTGTTGCCAGCCATAGCACCGTACCATCCTCCAGTACAACCAGCTGTGGGATGTTAACCCGTCACAGTGCTGTCCTTCACAAAACCAGCGATCTCGGATAAAGTGTTTACTCTGGTCATTCTGGCGCGTCTGCTTGATGAGGCCGAAGCACCAGTCGGGGGTGAACTTGGTGTGGCCTGTGATCAGGAAGTGAAGGTCCAGACTGTGGTGGATCATGTGATCAGGAAGTGAAGGTCCAGACTGTGGTGCATCATGTGATCAGGAAGTGAAGGTCCAGACTGTGGTGGATCATGTGATCAGGAAGTGAAGGTCCAGACTGTGGTGGAGCTGGTCTGCCAGGCACAATACCAGAGCACAAACCTGTTCTTGTTTTGGCCGCTGCAGTTGTCAGAATTCAGGTCCACACGTGTTTCCCCTATAAAGGATGTACAAGAACAATATCAAGAACCATATCAGTGATACTGGTGATAGATGAGGTAGTTATATGCATACAATCAGGGGTAAAGTGGCTGAGCAGCAGGATAAAACAATTAATAGTAGCAGCAACGTATGGCGTGTGTGTTAGGAGAGAGTCATGTGAATAGAGGCACTGCAGATAGTGCTGATGACTGGGAACTCGCCCCCAGTGATGAACTGGTCCGTCAGAACCACACATGAACAAGGGAATCAATATTCGGAGAGCCTGTTTCTGTCCTGCCCTTGACTTTGGTGCAGGACATGTGATGTCCATAGCCTCTTCGTCGCAAAACTCCCTGATCTTCTCAAAAAGATAAGTTTGTCTAGCTGTGTCCAGTCCAGGTGGTGCTTGTACAGGCAGACCATTTATGTGAGGAATGATGTCAGCGTTGCTTAGCAGCTGAGTCCGAACGCTCCTTGACAACAACAGCACCAGGCTCCAGAGCATCGAAGCTGTAAAACAGGAAGTAACAACAACAAAATTAGAAGACATTACAACCTTGCATAACATCAATTCACCTCCTTAGGTTAGATAAGAAGAATAACCTCCTACAACACAATGAAGTGCTGGGACTGCTTGATCTGTGGCAGAGACCTGAAGTACGGAGTCAGGTGTTGTTGCCAGCCAATTAAGTTCTTGCCTAGCAACAGACAGTATCCATGTTTAATCCTGACTCCATGTTCGTCATGTTTGTGATTAACTTTGTTTATCTCATAGCTTTCCACCAGCACCCTTCCATCCTCCAGTACAACTAGTTGACCCGTCACAGTGCTGTCCTTCACAACACCAGCGATCTCGGACAAAGTGTTTACTCTGGTCATTCTGACGCGTCTGCTTGATGAGGCCGAAGCACCAGTCGGGGGTGAACTTGGTGTGGCCTGTGATCAGGAAGTGAAGGTCCAGACTGTGGTGGATCATGTGATCAGGAAGTGAAGGTCCAGACTGTGGTGGAGCTGGTCTGCCAGGCACAATACCAGAGCACAAACTTGTTCTTGTTTTGGCCGCTGCAGTTGTCAGAATTCAGGTCCACACGTGTTTCCCCAACTCTGTAGTTGGTGAAGAAATGGTGCATGTAGTTGTTGACTGCGCTGCTGCCTTTGCTGGATGACATGCCTTCATCAATCAACTAGTTGACTTGTTGTGGTCCTTCACAGCAGACACCAAACAAGCCACACTTGCGAGGAGTTAAAAAGTAGATGGGACCTGGCTGCATAGGGCCAGAAGGATAGTGCACCTGCAAACAACAACAAAAGAGCATTAAGATCAGTTAAAATAATTTGTCTCACCCCTGTCAGTCTGTCTTTATACAGCTCAGTGAAAGGCATTTGCCTGCTTCCCATATACAGTACTAGTCAAAAGTTTGGACACACCTACTCATTCCAGGGTTTTTCTTTATTTTGACTATTTTCTACATTGTAGAATAATAGTGAAGACATCACAACTATGAAATAACACATATGGAATCATGTAGTAACCAAAAAAGTGTTAAACAAATCAACATATATTTTATATTTGATATTATTCAAATAGCCACCCTTTGCCTTGATGACAGCTTTGCACACTCTTGGCATTCTTTCAACCAGCTTCATGAAGTAGTCACCTGGAATGCATTTCAATTAACAGGTGTGCCTTCTTAAAAGTTAATTTGTGGAATTTCTTTCCTTAATGCGTTTGAGCCAATCAGTTGTGTTGTGACAAGGTAGGGGTGGTATACAGAAGATAGCCCTATTTGGTAAAAGACCAAGTCCATATTATGGCAAGAACAGCTTAAATAAGCAAAGAGAAACGACAGTCCATCATTACTTTAAGACATGAAGGTCAGTCAATACGGAACATTTCAAGAACTTTGAAAGTTTCTTCAAGTGCAGTTGCAAAAACCATCAAGCGCTATGATGAAACTGTCTCTCATGTGGACCGCCACTGGAAAGGAAGCCCAGAGTTACCTCTGCTGCAGAGGATAAGTTCATTAGAGTTACCAGCCTCAGAAATTGCAGCCCAAATAAATGCTTCACAGAGTTAAAGTAACAACATAGCTATAGCCACTGGTAACATTGAATATATGAGTCTACTGGAATGGTGCTGGAGAGAAATCAACTTTAAAAGCAGTGAATTGCCCCTCTAACATCTCTTCTATACCTCTATTGCATCATTCTCATGACCTGTGAAATGAATGTAGAACAGTGAAGTGACCACAGCATGTGGTGGTGGTGTAGGGGAACAGAGCAGTGTGTGACTGTTTCCTGTGTCCAGGTTTACCATGTCTGGAGAGGAATGTAGTCATCTGGAGACTGAGATCTCTAGTCTGAAGGTGAAGCTGGAGGTGCTGAAGGTAAGACTAGTGGCCATGTCTAAAGTCAATGTGAGCAAACCCCATACAGTAGATCACAATATTCTCTGAAGACACTGCAATCTACTGTGTGTGTGTGTACATATGGGTGTATGTGTTGCAGTCAGAGGCGAACAAGGATGAGAAGTTTGCCACACTCCCCAGAACCTCCTCCTATGGAAGGTGAGTGGACATACAAAGATGAAATGAGTCTAATATTAACAACTCTACCATAACATATTTTATTGCATCATCCTCATGACCTGTGAAATGAATGTAGAACAGTGAAGTGACCACAGCATGTGGTGGTGGTGTAGGGGAACAGAGCAGTGTGTGACTGTTTCCTGTGTCCAGGTTGACCCGGTCTAGAGAGAAGTGTCGTCGTCTGGAGACTGAGATCTCTAGGCTGGAGGAGAAGCTGAGGTTCATGAAGGTAACACTAGTGGTCATGTCTGAGAGTTCAAATGTCATTGGGATCAAACCACATATAGATCACAGCCACATACTGTGTGTGAGTGTGTGTGTGTGTGTGTGTGTGTGTGTGTTAAAGTTCCAACTGTAATCTATTATATGATGATATGAGAATGAGATATTGAGAGACCAGTAGAAATATTCTAGTACGTCTTAACAATATTAATATATTCATGTTATTTATTTTATATCAGTAGTCAGTTTTTCTATTCCTTCCTCACTGTTGTTATCTTTGTTGTTTTAGAGAATGTTGGATGTTGCAGTTCTGCTGCTGACAACTCTGGAGGAGATGAACCCAAATGAGTTGAGGAGATTTCAGTCTTACCTGACAAGTGGCCAGCTGTTTGGCTTTCCTCTCATCCCAGAAGGCCAGCTGGAGAACGCTGACAAACAGGTCACAGTGGATCATATGGTGAAGACATACGCCCCTAATAGAGCTGTGGAGATCACACTGAGGATCCTGAGGTGGATGGACCAGAATGATCTGGCAGAGAAGTTAGAGAGAGATTACAGTGGAGGTAACATAGCAAGAATGTACATCGATCTATCCATCACAATCACAGTTCAGTGGAGGTCTAACCAGAAAGAACATTCAACTGACTTCATAATAACATTCAGCAGGCCTCTCTTTTATCATTTTTATTAATGATGTATCCAGGTGACCCCATTATGTTTAAACAGCAATCCAACATTCATTATATTCCATACATACAATCACCAATACAGTAGGGAAGATATCACAAACAGATTAGACTTTCTAATCATGGCTGTATGTCTCTTCCTGAGCTGCCTAATCTGGAAGATGAACCAGAATGATCTGGCAGAGAAGTTAGAGAGAGATCAGAGAAGTAGGATTGTAGACAAGGACCCTAACTGTCTCTCTATCCCCCCTCCTATCTTCCCCTCTACAGTGATGTGAAACAAGTATTTGATCCTCTGCTGATTTTGTACGTTTGCCCACTGACAAAGAAATTATCAGTCTATAATTTTAATGATAGGTTTATTTGAACAGTGAGAGACAAAATAACAACAAAAAAATCCAGAAAAACACATGTAAAAAATGTTATAAATTGATTAGCATTTTAATGAGGGAAATAAGTATTTGACCCCTCTGCAAAACATGACTTAGTACTTGGTGGCAAAACCCTTGTTGGCAATCACAGAGGTCAGATGTTTCTTGTAGTTGGCCACCAGGTTTGCACACATCTCAGGAAGGACTTTGTCCCACTCCTCTTTGCAGATCTTCTCCAAGTCATTAAGTTTTCGAGGCTGACGTTTGGCAACTTGAACCTTCAGCTCCCTTCACAGATTGTGGCTAGGCCACTCCAGGACCTAAATATGCTTCTTCTTGAGCCACGGCTTTGTTGCCTTGGCCATGTGATTTGGGTCATTGTCATGCTGGAATACCCATCCACAACCCATTTTCAATGCCCTGGCTGAGGGAAGGAGGTTCTCACCCAAGATTTGATGGTACATGGCCCCGTCCATCGTCCCTTTGATGTGGTGAAGTTGTCCTGTCCCCTTAGCAGAAAAACACCCCCAAAGCATAATGTTTCCACCTCCATGTTTGACGGTGGGGATGGTGTTCTTGGGGTCATAGGCAGCATTCCTCCTCCTCCAAACACAGCGAGTTGAGTTGATGCCAAATAGCTCGATTTTGGTCTCATCTGACCACAACATTTTCATCCAGTTCTCCTCTGAATCATTCAGATGTTCATTGGCAAACTTCAGACGGGCATGTATATGTGCTTTCTTGAGCAGGGGGACCTTGCGGGCGCTGCAGGATTTCAGTCCTTCACGGCGTAGTGTGTTACCAATTGTTTTCTTGGTGACTATGGTCCCAGCTGCCTTGAGATCATTGACAAGATCCTCCCGTGTAGTTCTGTGCTGATTCCTCACCGTTCTCATGATCATTGCAACTCCACAAGGTGAGATCTTGCATGGAGCCCCAGGCCGAGGGAGATTGACAGTTCTTTTGTGTTTCTTCCATTTGCGAATAATCGCACCAACTGTTGTCACCTTCTCACCAAGCTGCTTGGCGATGGTCTTTGTTACGAACCCTGTGGCTTTAAAAGTCTAGGGTGGATGGAAAAGAGACCCGTAACATAATTCATGCAAATTAGAATCGTGACATGGAAACAGTGAACAAAAAATACACCGACAACCATAAACTACCATCAAACATAAAATGTTTATTTTGAACACACGGTAAAGGTTTGGGAAAAAGGGCTGAGCAGGACCCAAGGAATGAAACAATAATGTAAAAAAAAACTAAACTGATCTTGCCTGCCTCAAGAACCGCTAAGCTACTGCCAACCATACAAAAATACAGTGGGTGGTCCGCTCAGATCTAACTAGTGTTTTTAGACAATGTTCTTCCTACGGGTAATGTACGCCCAAGGGCAACTTGCTTAAATCCCCCTTTTCCCAGAAACACACAACATAGTTACCAAACAGAGTAACCAGCAAATGAGTGAGTACACAAAACACCACAGTATCCATACTCACATACGGAAAATAGTCTCTCAACAAACCCAACTGACTGGCTTTTAAAACAATGGGAGGTTTGAGTGAAAAACCAGAAACAGGTGGTGCAATACAGAGGAATGTCCACTGATTGGTCCACCTCAGCAATCAGCAGACAACCGGATGTCGGACAGGTGGGACACCCCAACGACCACCAATCAGGAACATAAAGGACACCTGTGATTAGGGCAGAAGGAGAGGAAAAACACACACAGGATACCTGTATCCGTAACAGTCTTGTAGCCCATTCCAGCCTTGTGTAGGTCTACAATCTTGTCCCTAACATCCTTGGAGAGCTCTTTGGTCTTGGCCATGGTGGAGAGTTTGGAATCTGATTGATTGATTGCTTCTGTGGACAGGTGTCTTTTATACAGGTAACAAACTGAGATTAGGAGCACTCCCTTTAAGAGTGTGCTCCTAATCTCAGCTCGTTACCTGTATAAAAGACACCTGGGAGCCAGAAATCTTTCTGATTGAGAGGGGGTCAAATACTTATTTCCCTCATTAAAATGCAAATCAATGTATAACATTTTTGACATGCGTTTTTCTGGATTTTTTTGTTGTTATTCTGTCTCTCACTGTTCAAATAAACCTACCATTAAAATTATAGACTGATCATTTCTTTGTCAGTGGGCAAACGTACAAAATCAGCAGGGGATCAAATACTTTTTTCCCTCACTGTATTTCCCCTGTTTCCACCTCTTTCCAGCTCTGCTGCTGACCACTCTGGAGGAGTTCACTGGAGAACAGCTGAAGACATTTCAGTCTAAACTGACTAGTGTCCAGCTGCCTGGCTTTTCTCCCATCCCAGAGAGACAGCTGGAGAACGCTGTCAGACAGAACATAGTGGGTCAGATGGTGAAGAGACACGACTCTGAGGGAGCTGTGGAGATCACGCTCCGGATCCTGAGGAGGATGAATCTGGATAATCTGGCAGAGAAGTTAGAGAGAGATTACAGACACAGAAGAGGTAACACCGTAAAACTGTGTTAAGAAAATGTATCATAAACGTTCCTTCAAACAAAGACAACATGATTTAAATGAATAATTGTTGATGAACAGGACAATGTAATATGACAATTATACTGTTATCTCTCTTCACTTCCTCTTCTATACCTGTATCTACCACAGAAACATCAGACGCTGTCAGTGATGAAGGGAGTGAAAATAAACATTATCGGAGGAAGTGGCATAGGGCACTGGTAATGAAGGTAAGACTAGTAGCCATGTCTGAGAGGTCAAATGTCATTGCGAACAAACCACATATAGATCACAGCCACATGCAGTCTGAAGTGTGTGTGAGTGAGTGCTCACTGTCATAGTCAGTTCTACAGTTCTACCCTCATATGTTAAAACACCTGTACTCACTGTCATAGTCAGTTCTACACTTCTACCCTCATATGTTAAAACACCTGTACTCACTGTCATAGTCAGTTCTACAGTATGAAATGATACAGTCCACACATACAGTCTAGATAATGAACTAATCTGTCAGGTAAACTATGAGGGGTGGGGGTCAGGCTGTAACACACACACCAAACAAGCCATGAATATATTCCTGTACCATGTTGTGTGTTTGTATGTGTGTGTGGCTATGTTCATGTTCTTTATATCAGTAGCCAATATTTCTATCCTTTTATTTATATCTTGTCATCTTGTTATTTTAGAGACCCTTCGTGTTGGATATACCAGCTCTGCTGCTGACCACTCTGGGAAAGCTCAGTGAAAAACAGCTGAAGAGATTTCTGTGCTTCCTGACTAGTGGCCAGCTGCCTGGCTTTCCTCCCATCCCAGAGAGACAGCTGCAGAACGCTGACAGACAGGTCACAGTGGATCATATGGTGAAGACATACGCCCCTGAGAGAGTTGTGGAGATCACACTGAGGATCCTGAGGTGGATGGACCAGAATGATCTGGCAGAAAAATTACTGCGCGATCACACTAGAGGTAACATAGCAAGAATGTACATCAATCTATACATCACAGTTCAGTGTAGGTCTAACCAGAAAGAACATTCAACTGACTTCATAATAACATTCAGCAGGCCTCTCTTTTATCATTTTTATTCATGATGTATCCAGGTGACCCCATTATGTTTAAACAGCAATCCAACATTCATTATATTCCATATATACAATCACCAATACAGTAGGGAAGATTTCACAAACAGATTAGACTTTCTAATCATGGCTGTATGTCTCTTCCTGAGCTGCCTAATCTGGAAGATGAACCAGAATGATCTGGCAGAGAAGTTAGAGAGAGATCAGAGAAGTAGGATTGTAGACAAGGACCCTAACTGTCTCTCTATCCCCCCTCCTATCTTCCCCTCTATTTCCCCTGTTTCCCCCTCTTTCTCAGGTACTGCCTCAACCTCTCCCCTGTGCGGGTACCCTCCACGTCCCCCCTTCCTCTACCCTGGCTCGTCCGAGGAGGTGTTGTCGTTAACTTCTCCTGGTAGCTCAGGACAGCTCAGGTCACAGGTAAGAGGACGGTTAGAGAAATGTAGGATCACTTCTACCCTCATATGTTAAAACACCTGTACTCACTGTCATAGTCAATTCTACCCTCATATGTTAAAACACCTGTACTCACTGTCATAGTCAGTTCTACACTTCTACCCTCATATGTTAAAACACCTGTACTCACTGTCATAGTCAGTTCTACAGTTCTACCCTCATATGTTAAAACACCTGTACTCACTGTCATAGTCAGTTCTACAGTATGAAATGATACAGTCCACACATACAGTCTAGATAATGAACTAATCTGTCAGGTAAACTATGAGGGGTGGGGGTCAGGCTGTAACACACACACCAAACAAGCCATGAATATATTCCTGTACCATGTTGTGTGTTTGTATGTGTGTGTGGCTATGTTCATGTTCGTTATATCAGTAGCCAATATTTCTATCCTTTTATTTATATCTTGTCATCTTGTTATTTTAGAGACCCTTCGTGTTGGATATACCAGCTCTGCTGCTGACCACTCTGGGAAAGCTCAGTGAAAAACAGCTGAAGAGATTTCTGTGCTTCCTGACTAGTGGCCAGCTGCCTGGCTTTCCTCCCATCCCAGAGAGACAGCTGCAGAACGCTGACAGACAGGTCACAGTGGATCATATGGTGAAGACATACGCCCCTGAGAGAGTTGTGGAGATCACACTGAGGATCCTGAGGTGGATGGACCAGAATGATCTGGCAGAAAAATTACTGCGCGATCACACTAGAGGTAACATAGCAAGAATGTACATCAATCTATACATCACAGTTCAGTGGAGGTCTAACCAGAAAGAACATTCAACTGACTTCATAATAACATTCAGCAGGCCTCTCTTTTATCATTTTTATTCATGATGTATCCAGGTGACCCCATTATATTTAAACAGCAATCCAACATTCATTATATTCCATATATACAATCACCAATACAGTAGGGAAGATTTCACAAACAGATTTTCTAATCATGGCTGTATGTCTCTTCCTGAGCTGCCTAATCTGGAAGATGAACCAGAATGATCTGGCAGAGAAGTTAGAGAGAGATCAGAGAAGTAGGATTGTAGACAAGGACCCTAACTGTCTCTCTATCCCCCTCCTATCTTCCCCTCTATTTCCCCTGTTTCCCCCCTTTCCAGCTCTGCTGCTGACCACTCTGGAGGAGTTCACTGGAGAACAGCTGAAGACATTTCAGTCTGACCTGACTAGTGGCCAGCTGGCTGACTTTCCTCCCATCCCAGAGAGACAGCTGGAGAACGCTGTCAGACAGAACACAGTGGATCATATGGTGAAGAGATACGACTCTGAGGGAGCTGTGGAGATCACGCTCTGGATCCTGAGGAGGATGAATCTGGATAATCTGGCAGAGAAGTTAGAAAGAGATTACAGACACAGAAGAGGTAACACCGTAAAACTGTGTTAAGAAAATGTATCATAAACGTTCCTTCAAACAAAGACAACATGATTTACAGTGAGGGAAAATAGTATTTGATCCCCTGCTGATTTTGTACGTTTGCCCACTGACAAAGAAATGATCAGTCTATAATTTGAATGGTAGGTTTATTTGAACAGTGAGAGACAGAATAACAACAAAAAAAATCCAGAAAAATGCATGTCAAAAATGTTATAAATTGATTTGCATTTTAATGAGGGAAATAAGTATTTGACCCCTCTGCAAAACATGACTTAGTACTTGGTGGCAAAACCCTTGTTGGGAATCACAGAGGTCAGACGTTTCTTGTAGTTGGCCACCAGGTTTGCACACATCTCAGGAGTGATTTTGTTCCACTCCTCTTTGCAGATCTTCTCCAAGTCATTAAGGTTTCGAGGCTGACGTTTGGCAACTCGAACCTTCAGCTCCCTCCACAGATTTTCTATGGGATTAAGGTCTGGAGAATGGCTAGGCCACTCCAGGACCTTAATGTGCTTCTTCTTGAGCCACTCCTTTGTTGCCTTGGCCGTGTGTTTTGGGTCATTGTCATGCTGGAATACCCATCCACAACCCATTTTCAATGCCCTGGCTGAGGGAAGGAGGTTCTCACCCAAGATTTGACGGTACATGGCCCCGTCCATCGTCCCTTTGATGCGGTGAAGTTGTCCTGTCCCCTTAGCAGAAAAACACCCCCAAAGCATAATGTTTCCACCTCCATGTTTGACGGTGGGGATGGTGTTCTTGGGGTCATAGGCAGCATTCCTCCTCCTCCAAACACGGCGAGTTGATTTGATGCCAAATAGCTCGATTTTGGTCTCATCTGACCACAACACTTTCACCCAGTTCTCCTCTGAATCATTCAGATGTTCATTGGCAAACTTCAGACGGGCATGTATATGTGCTTTCTTTAGCAGGGGGACCTTGCGGGCGCTGCAGGATTTCAGTCCTTCACGGCGTAGTGTGTTACCAATTGTTTTCTTGGTGACTATGGTCCCAGCTGCCTTGAGATCATTGACAAGATCCTCCCGTGTAGTTCTGGGCTGATTCCTCACCGTTCTCATGATCATTGCAACTCCACGAGGTGAGATCTTGCATGGAGCCCCAGGCCGAGGGAGATTGACAGTTCTTTTGAGTTTCTTCCATTTGCGAATAATCACACCAACTGTTGTCACCTTCTCACCAAGCTGCTTGGCGATGGTCTTGTAGCCCATTCCAGCCTTGTGTAGGTCTACAATCTTGTCCCTGACATCCTTGGAGAGCTCTTTGGTCTTGGCCATGGTGGAGAGTTTGGAATCTGATTGATTGATTGCTTCTGTGGACAGGTGTCTTTTATACAGGTAACAAGCTGAGATTAGGTGCACTCCCTTTAAGAGTGTGCTCCTAATCTCAGCTCGTTACCTGTATAAAAGACACCTGGGAGCCAGAAATCTTTCTGATTGAGAGGGGGTCAAATACTTATTTCCCTCATTAAAATGCAAATAAATTTATAACATTTTTGACATGCGTTTTTCTGGATTTTTGTTGTTGTTATTCTGTCTCTCACTGTTCAAATAAACCTACCATTAAAATTATAGACTGATCACTTCTTTGTCAGTGGGCAAACGTACAAAATCAGCAGGGTATCAAATACTTTTTTCCTTCACTGTAAATGAATAATTGTTGATGAACAGGACAATGTAATACGACAATTATACTGTTATCTCTCTTCACTTCCTCTTCTATACCTGTATCTACCACAGAAACATGGTGGAGCAACTCATCAGACGCTGACAGTGATGAAGAGAGTGAAAATAAACTTTATTGGAGGAAGTGGCATAGGGCACTGGTAATGAAGGTAAGACTAGTAGCCATGTCTGAGAGGTCAAATGTCATTGTGAACAAACCACATATAGATCACAGCCACATGCAGTCTGAAGTGTGTGTTAGTGAGTGCTCACTGTCATAGTCAGTTCTACCCTCATATGTTAAAACACCTGTACTCACTGTCATAGTCAGTTCTACCCTCATATGTTAAAACACCTGTACTCACTGTCATAGTCAGTTCTACACTTCTACCCTCATATGTTAAAACACCTGTACTCACTGTCATAGTCAGTTCTACAGTATGAAATGATACAGTCCACACATACAGTCTAGATAATGAACTAATCTGTCAGGTAAACTATGAGGGGTGAGGGTCAGGCTGTAACACACACACCAAACAAGCCATGAATATATTCCTGTACCATGTTGTGTGTTTGTATGTGTGTGTGGCTATGTTCATGTTCTTTATATCAGTAGCCAATATTTCTATCCTTTTATTTATATCTTGTTATTTTAGAGACCCTTCGTGTTGGATATACCAGCTCTGCTGCTGACCACTCTGGGAAAGCTCAGTGAAGAAGCGCTGATGGATTTTCAGTGTGAGCTACGTAGAGGCCTTGACTTTCCATATCAGTTTACTTCCCATCCTTTCAATCCGAGGAGCCAGCTGGAGAACGCTGACAGACAGGTCACAGTGGATCATATGGTGGAGAGATTTCATCCTGAGAGAGCTCTGGAGGTCACAGTGGATTTCCTGAGGAGGATGAATCTAGATGATCTCATGGAAAAGTTAAAGAGAGATCACACTAGAGGTAACATAACAAGAATATACATCTATCTATTAATCACAATCACAGTTCAGTGTAGGTCTAACCAGAAAGAACATTCAACTGACTTCATAATAACATTCAGCAGGCCCCTCTCTTATTTATTGTATGTATCCAGGTGATATCATTGTGATTAAACAGAAATCAATAATTCATTACACATTATGTATAAAATCAACAGTACAGTGGCTCAGTAGACATAGCTAAGATATTGCAAGATAAAAGCAGATTTCACTCTCTAATCGTGGCTGTACATCTCTTCTTGAGTTTCCTAAATTCTAGCCAATCAACTGAAGAGTGAGTAAGTGTAACGTTTGTAGGGGACTAGAAGCTTATTGGAAATACAGGAAAAACTGATATAAGAAAAAGAAGCCTGGAGGCGAGGCTGAACAATACATGAACTATATCTGACATGTAAGACATCTCTCTCCTATCCTCTCTGTTCCAGCTTGGCTGCTGAACACTCTGGAGCAGCTGAACACAAACGAGCTGAAGACATTTAAAAACTACCTGACTAGTGGCCAGCTGCTTGGCTTTCCTCCCATCCCAGAGAGCCAGCTGGAGAACGCTGACAGACGGGTCACAGTGGGTCAGATGGAGAAGAGATACGGCCTTGAGAGTGCTGTGAAGGTCACACTGAGGATCCTGAGGTGGATGAATGAGCATGATCTCACAGAGAAGTTACAGAGAGATCACACAGGTAAAACAGCAAGACCAATTAATCTGTTCTTTAAAAGTTACATTTGTTGTTTATAGCTACATTGAGTGAGTATCTTTCCTTCATGCAATGAGAACCCTCAGGCCCTGAGAAAGCTGTGCAGATCTCACCGGAGATCCTGAAGAAGATGACCTGGGATCTGTCGGAGAAGTTAGAGAGAGAGGTGAGGAGGAGAGGGGATGTTTGGGTTCACAACAACAATACCTGGTAAAAGACATGGAGACAGGCAGACGAACATTGAGCAACAGAAAGAGACTGTCACCAAATGAAATTCTCTGCTAGTTGGCTTTCATCTAGCAAGGGTTCAATTGGAGTGAGGAACAAGTCAGAATACTGACTGACAGCTTTTCTTATGCCATGGAGAAGTTAAACTACAGAGAATGTAGAATAGTGGACCAGGGCCTGTGTACTACTGACCCTCCTCTGGTAAGACCTTCACTGGAAAGACAGACAGACAGACCAACAGACCAGTTGAATATTGAAGCAATAAGGCCTGAGGGGGTGTGGTATATGGCCAATATACCACGGCTAAGGGCTGTTCTTAGGCACAATGCAATGCAGAGTAAACAGCCTGCATACATCCCTTATCCATGGTATATTGGCCATATACCACAAACCCCAGAGGTGCCTTGTTGCTATTATAAACTGGTTACCAACGTAATTAGAACAGTAAAAATACATGTTTTGTCATACCTGTGGTATATGGTCTGATATACCACGCTGCACAGCTATTTTCAGGTCTCTCCAGAGATGTTCGATCGGGTTCAAGTCCGGGCTCTGTCTGGGCCACTCAACAACTTTCAGAAACTGCGTTGTCTTGGCTGTGTGCTTAGGGTCGTTCTCCTTTTGGAAGGTGAACCTTTACCCCAGTCTGAGGTCCTGAGTGCTCTGGAGCAGGTTTTCATCAAGGATCTCTTTGTACTTTGCTCCGCTCACCTTTCCCTCAAACCTGACTAGTGTCCCTGTCCCAGCCACTGAAAAACATCCCCATAGCATGATGCTTCACCGCGGGGATGGTGCCAGGTTTCCTCCAGACGTGACGCTTGGCATTCAGGCTAAAGAGTTCGATCTTGGTTTCATCAGGCCAGAGAATCTTGTTTCTCATGGTCTAAAAGTATGTAGTTGCCTTTTGGCAAACTCCAAGCAGGCTGTCATGTGCCTTTTACTGAGGAGTGGCTTCCGTCTGGCCACTGATTGGTGGAGTGTTGCAGAGATGGTTGTCCTTCTGGAAGGTTCTCCCATCTCCACAGAGGAACTTTAGAGCTCTGTCAGAGTGACAATTGGGTTCTTGGTCACCTCCCTGACCAAGGACATTCTCCTCTATTGCTCAGTTTGGCCGGGCGGCCAGCTCTAGGAATAGTCTTAGTGGTTCCAAACTTCTTCCATTTAAGAATGATGGAGGCCAATGTGTTCCTGGGGACCTTCAATGCTGCAGAAATGTTTTGGTACCCTTCCACAGATCTGTGCATCAACACAATTCTGTCTCAGAGCTCTACGGACAATTCCCTCGACCTCATGGCTTGGTTTTTGCTATGACATGCACTGCCAACTGTAGGACCTTGTATAGACAGCACTGTGCCTTTCCAAATCACGTCCAATTAATTGAATTTACCACAGCTGGACAATCAAGTTGTAGAAACATCTCAAGGATGATTCATGGAAAATGTACACACTTGAGCTCAATTTCGAGTCTCATAGCAAAGGGTCTGAATACTTATGTAAATGTGATATTTCAGTTGTTTTATTTTTTATTATTAGCAAATATTTCTATAAACCTGTTTTTGCGTTTACATTATGGGACATTGTGTGTAGTAGATTGATGAGGAAAAAAGGTAACTTAATCCATTTTAGAATAAGGCTGTAACGTAACAAAATGTGGACAATGGGAAGGGGTCTGAATTCTTTCTGAATAGTATTATTTATATTGTTTATTTTTTATAAAATATATAGATGTATAAAATATTATATTTCTTGGAACTTTTGAGTCAAGGATATGTTTCTGTTTTATTTAGTTCATTTTTTATTTGTTCCATTGGTTGTGTGTGTGTGTGTGTGTGTGTGTGTGTGTGTGTGTGTGTGTAGGAGCCAGTAGCTGCTTCTAAGAGGGAACAGAAGCCAGCAGGGGCACATAACGCCAACCTCCCCAGCACCTCTTCTGGAATGTCAGTGGAGACTGAGTACATTAGTCAGATATTAAAACTATGTAGGCACTGGTGAGATTGAATATATGAGTCTACTGGTATGGTGCTGGAGAGATAATATACTTTAAAAGAGGTGGATTTCCTCGTTAACAACTCCATCAGAATGTATAACATAATTCTCATTATGTGAGTGAAATGAACGTAGAACAGTGAAGTGACCACAGCATGTGGTGGTGGTGTAGGGGAACAGAGCAGTGTGTGACTGTTTCCTGTGTCCAGGTGGACCCGGTCTGGAGAGAAGCGTCACCATCTGGAGAGGCAGAGGGAGGAGCATAGGGCACTGGGCATCAAGGTAAGACTAGTAGTCATATAAGAAGGGTGAACAAACCACATATAGAACACAGTAATAAACACACAATGTGAGTGTTAGTGAGAGTGAGAGTGTGAGTGTGAGTGTTAGTGTGAGTGTTAGAGAGTCAGAATATGTGTGAGTGTGAGCAGCCTTCAAATTATACATTTGGGATGTCTCTGTATTGAGTAAAAACATGTATGGGCCTAATAATAAAGACTTAATTTAAATGTTAATTACATTTTTACGTGGCATGAACACAACCAGTCATGATATTTTCATCTGATTGTCAAACAAATCACTTCAAAAAGTAGACAAGTTTGTCCACTCCAAAATGATTCCAGCATTCAAACTGCATGTACCTTCTGCTCCCCCTATGGACATTTCCACCCACCCTCCTCAACGGACTTCTACTCTGTGCATTCAAATTGTCATCGAAAAAATGCAATTGTGTTCGTTGTCCGTAGCTTATGCCTGCCCATACCCTAACCCTACCACCACCATGGGAACTCTGTTCACAACGTTGACATCAGCAAACCGCTCACCCCCACGACACCATACTTGTGGTCTGCGGTTGTGAGGCCAGTTGGACATACTGCAAAATTCTCTTAAAGGACATATTGTAGAGAAATGAACATTCACTTCTCACATTCCTGCAGTCACCATGCCAATTGCACAGTCCCCCAAAACTTGACACATCTTTGGCATTGTGTTGTGTGACAACATTGCACATTTTAGAGTGACCTTTTATTGTCCCCAACACAAGGTGCACTTGTGTAAAGATCATGCTGTTTAATCAGCTTGATATGCCACATCTCTCAGGTGGATGGATTATCTTGGCAAAGGAGAAACGCTCACTAACAGGGATGTAGACAAATTTGTATGAAAATTGTGAGATAAATAAGCTTTTTGTGCGTATGGAACATTTCTGGGATCTTTTAGTTCAGCTCATGAAACACTTTACATGTTGTGCTTATATTTTTATTACTCTGTCTGACTGCTGCTCCCTCTATGGACATTTCCCTCTCAACGGTCTTTACTCTTCCCAATGGACATTAACTCTGTTTGACTGCTGCTCCCTCTATGGACATTTGTGTGTGTGTGTGTGTGTGTGTGTGTGTGTGTGTGTGTGTGTGTGTGTGTGTGTGTGTGTGTGTGTGTGTGTGTGTGTGTGTGTGTGTGTGTGTGTGTGTGTGTGTGTGTGTGTGTGTAGGAGCCGGTTGCTGCTTCTAAGAGGGAACAGAAGCCAGCAGGGGCACATAACGCCAACCTCCCCAGCACCTCTTCTGGAATGTCAGTGGAGACTGAGTACATTAGTCAGATATTAAAACTATGTAGGCACTGGTGAGATTGAATATATGAGTCTACTGGTATGGTGCTGGAGAGATAATATACTTTAAAAGCAGTGGATTTCCCCTTTAACAACTCTATCAGAATGTATAACATCATTCTCATTAAGTGAGTGAAATGAATGTAGAACAGTGAAGTGACCACAGCATGTGGTGGTGGTGTAGGGGAACAGAGCAGTGTGTGACTGTTTCCTGTGTCCAGGTCGACCCGGTCTAGAGAGAAGTGTCTGAAGAGGCAGAGGGAGGAGCCTATGGCACTGGTCATCAAGGTAAGCCTAGTAGTCATATAAGAAGGGTCAAATGTCATTGTGAACTAACCACATATGCTGTGCGTGTGTATGAGAATGAGGTATTGAGAGACCAGCAGAAAGATTCTAGTTTGTCCTACCAATATTAATATATTCATGTTCTTTATTTTATATCAGTAGTCAGTATTTCTATTCTCTTCCTTATATCTGATCATCTTTGTTATTTTAGAGACCCTCCATGTTGGATGTTCCAGCTCTGCTGCTGACCACTCTGGAGGAGTTCACTGAAGAACAGCTGAAGACATTTCAGTCTAACCTGACTAGCGTCCAGCTGCCTGGCTTTCCTCTCATCCCAGAGAGCCAGCTGGAGAACACTGACAGACAGGACACAGTGGATCAGATGGTGAAGAGATACGGCCCTGAGAGAGCTGTGAAGATCACACTGAACACAATGAGGAAGATGGACCTGGGTGATCTTGCTGAGAAGTTAGAGAGAGATCACAGAGGAGGTAATTACAGGTGTTGTTCCTAGTCAGGATGTTGAGTGTTTCAAAAAAAGAGTCCCAGCTTCTTTACTATTTCGTTTTATAACATATAAATGAGGATACAACATCTATGTCCCCTTTTGATAACACATCTCAGAAACGCAGGTAACACCTCTATAAACGGTCAATATAGAGTTTGTCATTTCAACTGTTTTCTCCTCAGTCCTCCAGGCCACCCAAAAAACGTTGAAGGAAATGCCAAGTTCCTCATCTCATAGTCCTCCTAGAACCCCAGGTAAGAGTGAAGGAGATGCAGATGTAAGATCTTCATTTGATCATTCTTTTGTTGCTGAGAATGTTCTTATACGGCAAGAAATGCAAACTTGAAGTGTATTGGAGTTTTAAAAAGTTTTCTGAAGTTTGTATTTTCCACTTGAATTGACCTAACGAAAAATGTATCAACTCCTACAAAAATGTCAATTAATTATAATATACATAATAATTCACATTTCCTGTTGCTGCAGGATTATTTTCCTGCTGAAGCAAACTGGCTCAAATGAAGATCCTACATCTGTATTTAATACAAAGACAACTTTAAACCAATAACTAACAAAATTAGATATATACACTATTTCTGTGCAGATTCTCCTCTTCTCCTGGAACCCAATGATCCCATTGTTGGACAGGCCTTCACCTTGCCATCAGCGACTGATGGGACAATAGAAGAAGAGAGCCAGGACTGTGTCAGAGTGCATCCGTCTGACAGCTTACCTGAAGCCATGGACGAGTTAAACATCACAGAATGTAGAGTAGTGGACCAGAGCCTGTGTACTACTGACCCTCGCATGGTAAGACCCTCACTAGAAAGAAAGAAAGAAAGAAAGAAAGAAAGAAAGAAAGAAAGAAAGAAAGAAAGAAAGAAAGAAAGAAAGAAAGAAAGAAAGAAAGAAAGAGCCGTTGAGTATCTGATTTTATGGTGGATTGTGGAGGAGGGGGGTTGAGTGTGTTGGAGTATGTGCGTGTGTGTTTGTCCAGCATCGGTTGTGGGGGGGGGGGTATGGGATGGACCACGGGAATTATTTGCTAGGATAATAATTGCTTGTCAATAAATGAAATGTAATACAATGGCAATCCGGGTTATATGTTAAAATCCTACGCATGAACTGCCGACATTATTATGCATATTAATTGATAATGATGGAAAATAGGATATGCATAATTTTTTTAATAGTTATATATATTTATATATATATATATATAGAGAGAGAGAGGTGACAGCATTGGAAATGCTTTTGGCGGTTAATCTGCTTCTGTTTTGTGGGTGGCACTGTGTGCTGTTTTCGATGGATGGGTCCTGGCCTCTCGGTGCCTTAGGGATCCGGAGGGACGTGGGTGGGAAGCCGATCACTGGGATGACGGCTCAATTTGGGATGGGGAGGGGCTTTAGCGGGGGAATTAGTGGAGAACAATTGAAGGGTTACTCAGTTGCAATGCAAATATCACGGTACAGCTATATGGACACTCAATCATTACGGTATTTTTTATTGGTACCTTTGCAAACATATATAATAATAAATAGACTTGAAACTTGTATCTCATTATGGTGTATGTTGAAATTAGTATAGCCAGTTATAATTGTAATGGCTTAGCTGATAATAACAAAAGAAGAACAATATTTACATGGCTCAAAGAGAAGGAATATAATATCTATTGTATACAGGAAACTCATTCAACAATTCGAGATGAAGTTGCGTGGAAAAAGGAATGGGGGGGGGATATACTTCTCCCATGGGCAAAGAAATTCAAAAGGGGTGATGATATTAATTAATAGTAATTTCGATCCGAATGTGCAAATTGTTCAAATAGATATGCAAGGTAGATGGATTATTTAAAATATGTTATTGGACCATAAACAGATATGTCTCATTAACCTTTACAGACCAAATAATGATGATCCACACTTCTTTGACAATACAGTGGGGAAAAAAAGTATTTAGTCAGCCACCAATTGTGCAAGTTCTCCCACTTAAAAAGATGAGAGAGGCCTGTAATTTTCATCATAGGTACACGTCAAATGACAGACAAAATGAGAGAAAAAAATCCAGAAAATTACATTGTAGGATTTTTAATGAATTTATTTGCAAATGATGGTGGAAAATAAGTATTTGGTCAATAACAAAAGTTTCTCAATACTTTGTCATATACCCTTTGTTGGCAATGACACAGGTCAAACGTTTTCTGTAAGTCTTCACAAGGTTTTCACACCCTGTTGCTGGTATTTTGGCCCATTTCTCCATGCAGATCTCCTCTAGAGCAGTGATGTTTTGGGGCTGTCGCTGGGCAACACGGACTTTCAACTCCCTCCAAAGATTTTCTATGGGGTTGAGATCTGGAGACTGGCTAGGCCACTCCAGGACCTTGAAATGCTTCTTACGAAGCCACTCCTTCGTTGCCCGGGAGGTGTGTTTGGGATCATTGTCATGTTGAAAGACCCAGCCACGTTTCATATTCAATGCCCTTGCTGATGGAAGGAGGTATTCACTCAAAATCTCACGATACATGGCCCCATTCATTCTTTCCTTTACACGGATCAGTCGTCCTGATCCCTTTGCATAAAAACAGCCCCAAAGCATGATGTTTCCACCCCCATGCTTCACAGTAGGTATGGTGTTCTTTGGATGCAACTCAGCATTCTTTGTCCTCCAAACACGACGAGTTGAGTTTTTACCAAAAAGTTATATTTTGGTTTCATCTGACCATATGACATTCTCCCAATCCTCTTCTGGATCATCCAAATGCACTCTAGCAAACTTCAGACGGGCCTGGACTTGTACTGGCTTAAGCAGGGGGACACATCTTGTACTGCAGGATTTGAGTCCCTGGCGGCGTAGTGTGTTACTGATGGTAGGCGTTGTTACTTTGGTCCCAGCTCTCTGCAGGTCATTCACTTGGTCCCCTCGTGTGGTTCTGGGATTTTTGCTCACCGTTCTTGTGATCATTTTGACCCCACGGGGTGAGATCTTGCGTGGAGCCCCAGATCGAGGGAGATTATCAGTGGTCTTGTATGTCTTCCATTTCCTAATAATTGCTCCCACGGTTGATTTCTTCAAACCAAGCTGCTTACCTATTGCAGATTCAGTCTTCCCAGCCTGGTGCAGGTCTACAATTTTGTTTCTGGTTTCCTTTGACAGCTCTTTGGTCTTGGCCATAGTAGAGTTTGGAGTGTGACTGTTTGAGGTTGTGGACAGATGTCTTTTATACTGATAACAAGTTCAAACAGGTGCCATTAATACAGGTAACGAGTGGAGGACAGAGGAGCCTCTTAAAGAAGAAGTTACAGGTCTGTGAGAGCCAGAAATCTTGCTTGTTTGTAGGTGACCAAATACTTATTTTCTACCATAATTTGCAAATTAATTCATTATAAATCCTACAATGTGATTTTCTGGAGATTTTTTTTTCTCAATTTGTCTGTCATAGTTGACGTGTACCTATGATGAAAATTACAGGCCTCTCTCATCTTTTTAAGTGGGAGAACTTGCACAATTGGTGGCTGACTAAATACTTTTTTCCCCCACTGTATATATAATAAATTATCAACCCTGCAAGCAATTCAAGACAATATTATTATGGTGGGGGATTATAATACTGTTTTAAATAGCTCAATGGACCGTAAAGGAAATCACACCACAAACATTCACCCACATGCTCTTAAGGAAATTGTGAATGTCATGGATACATTAGAACTAGTAGATATATGGAGGCTTAAATATACTGATTGTCAGGGCCGTGTAGAAATGGTGTGGTGTGGAATCAAGTGCAGAAGCAGATTGATAGTCCAATAATCTTTACTGGAAAGTGCGAGGCAATAATCCAAAACAGCCAGAGGCAAAACGCACACAGGCGTAAAATACAAGCGCGCATAAACAGGCGCGCAAAACTCTTCTCAACCGAGAAGTAAGCAATACCGTAGAGGCGTACCAAACACAGGTACGAAATGACACCTAACACGAAACAATTACACACAACACTACACTAACAACAAGGAAACTAAATAGGGTGCTTAATTAGACATAACACAAGACAGGTGTGGCTAACAGACAAAACTAGTCAAACAGAAAACATAGAGCGGTGGCAGCTAGTACTCCGGAGACGACGACCGGCGAAACCTGCCCGAACAAGGAGGAGGAGCTGCCTCGGCCGAAACCGTGACAGTACCCCCCCCCCTTGACGCGCGGCTCCAGCCGTGCGCCGACTCCGGCCTCGGGGATGCCCAGGAGGGCGCGGCGCCGGGCGCGTAGGATGACCACGATGGAATTCGGTCATCAGGGACGGATCCAGAATATCCCTCCTCGGCACCCAGCACCGCTCCTCCGGACCGTACCCCTCCCACTCCACGAGATATTGGAGACCCCCCATCCGGCGTCTGGAATCCAGGATGGTCCGAACAGTGTACGCCGGAGCCCCCTCGATCTCCAACGGGGGCGGAGGAGTCTCCTCAATCTCGAAGTCCTGGAGTGGACCAGCTACCACCGGCCTGAGGAGAGACACATGGAATGAGGGGTTAATATTCTTGTAATCAATAGGTAGTTCTAACCTGTAACACACCTCATTCAATCTCCTCAGGACTTTAAAAGGCCCCACAAACCGCCGACCCAGCTTCCGGCAGGGCAGGCGGAGGGGTAGGTTTCTGGTTGAGAGCCAGACTCGATCTCCAGGTGCGTACACTGGCCCCTCACTGCGGCGTAGGTCGGCGCTCGTCTTTTGTCGACGTATGGCACGCTGCAGATGGACATGAGCAGCGTTCCACGTCTCCTCCGAGCGCCCTACCCACTCATCCACAGCGGGGGCCTCGATCTGGCTCTCATGCCACGGTGCCAGAACCGGCTGATACCCTAAGACACACTGAAAAGGGGTTAGTCTAGTGGAGGAGTGGCGGAGAGAGTTCTGTGCCATCTCTGCCCAGGGCACATATCTCGCCCACTCCTCCGGCCGGTCCTGACAATATGACCTCAGAAACCTACCC